CCTCCCACGGGGGGATCTTGGGCGAAAGATAAGAAAATAGCAGCAACAAAATGCCCCTGCATGGTCAACAACTACTGAGCGAGAATCGCCCCCATACGATTTGTTTGACTATGTTGGGATTTCCTCCTGTAGAGGGACAGGCTTAAGTCGGGCCTGCCCTCCCACGGGGGGATCTTGGGCGAAAGATAAGAAAATAGCAGCAACAAAATGCCCCTGCATGGTCAACAACTACTGAGCGAGAATCGCACCCATACGATTTGTTTGACTATGTTGGGATTTTCCTCCTGTAGAGGGACAGGCTTAAGTCGGGCCTGCCCTCCCACGGGGGGATCTTGGGCGAAAGATAAGAAAATAACAGCAACAAAATGCCCCTGCATGGTCAACAACTACTGAGCGAGAATCGCCCCCATACGATTTGTTTGACTATGTTGGGATTGTTCTCTTGTAGAGGGACAGGCTTAAGTCGGGCCTGCCCTCCCACGGGGGGATCTTGGGCGAAAGATAAGAACATAGCAGCAACAAATGCCCTCGCATGTCAACACTACTTAGGCGAGAATCGCCCCCATACGATTTGTTTGACTATGTTGGGATTTTCCTCCTGTAGAGGGACAGGCTTAAGTCGGGCCTGCCCTCCCACGGGGGGATATTGGGCGAAAGATAAGAAAATAGCAGCAACAAAATGCCCCTGCATGGTCAACAACTACTGAGCGAGAATCGCCCCCATACGATTTGTTTGACTATGTTGGGATTTTCCTCCTGTAGAGGGACAGGCTTAAGTCGGGCCTGCCCCCCCCACGGGGGGATCTTGGGCGAAAGATAAGAAAATAGCAGCAACAAAATGCCCCTGCATGGTCAACAACTACTGAGCGAGAATCGCCCCCTACGATTTGTTTGACTATGTTGGGATTTTCCTCCTGTAGAGGGACAGGCTTAAGTCGGGCCTGCCCTCCCACGGGGGGATCTTGGGCGAAAGATAAGAAAATAGCAGCAACAAAATGCCCCTGCATGGTCAACAACTACTGAGCGAGAATCGCCCCCATACGATTTGTTTGACTATGTGGGAAGTTTTCCTCCTGTAGAGGGACAGGCTTAAGTGGGGCCTGCCTCCCACGGGGGGATCTTGGCGAAAGATAAGAAATAGCAGCAACAAAAATGCCCCTGCATGGTCAACAACTACTGAGCGAGAATCGCCCCCATACGATTTGTTTGACTATGTTGTGATTTTCCTCCTGTAGAGGGACAGGCTTAAGTCGGGCCTGCCTCCCACGGGGATCTTGGTCGAAAGATAAGAAAATAGCCGCAACAAAATGTCCCCTGCATGGTCAACAACTACTGAGCGAGATCGCCCCCATAATCTATTTGTTTTGACTATGTTGGGATTTTTCCTGCACTGTAAGGACAAGCTGTAAGTCGGGCCTGCCCTCCCACAGGGGGATTTCGGGCGAAAAGATCGGAAAATAGCAACAACAAAATGCCCCTGCATGGTCAACAACTACTGAGCGAGAATCGCCCCCATACGATTTGTTTGACTATGTTGGGATTTTCCTCCTGTAGAGGGACAGGCTTAAGTCGGGCCTGCCCTCCCACAGGGGGATTTCGGGCGAAAGATCGGAAAATAGCAACAACACCACAATGCCCCTGCATGGTTAACAACTACTGAACGAGAATCGCCCCCATACTATTTTTGTTGACTGTCTTGGGATCTTCCTCCTGTAGAGGGACGGGCCCGACCTGGCCCTGGGCGCCGCTGCTTCGGCACCGGTTCCTTCCTTCCTCTCCCGCCGCCCTTGGTCGTTCCGCCCTGGCGCGGCCCCGGGCACACCGCTGGGCGGAGCTCCCGCGACGCTCGCCGGTCGACCGGGAGGAACTCCGACGCCGCGCGCGAGTTCTGAAAGGGGCCCCAGAACACACAAATAAATGCACACAAATAAAAACATTCCCCATGTTTTCCCATACTTTCTGGGTTTTTGTCTTCCCCCCCACTTCCCACATTTTCCCATCTTCTCCTGGGAGGCGACGATTCATTGTGTCTGTGTGTTTTTTCCCCTCCTGAGTTCTTCGCGGCACGGAGCAAAGCAACCAGTGGCAGCTGGCAGCGGGCGAAACGACGCTGGGCCGAGCGCGCGGGGGTCGGGCACTTGCTGGAGGCAGGGCGCGGAGGAGCGCCCGCGACCCGCGCTGGTCGCCCCGAGGGGGTTCCAGCGGCGCGCGCGGGCCGTCCGCGGCGCGAGGCCAAGCCAGTGGACGGTCGACAGGAGGCGAGGCTCGGGCGGGCCACGATGCAGCGACGAAGCGTCTGAGAGGCGTGTCGAAACGGCCGGGGAGCCGCCTTCGAACCCTGTCACTCGGGCCTTCGGCGGAGTTTTCCCTAGGGTGCTGCGAACAAGCTGGAGGGTGTGCCGAAATGGGACTTCGGTGGGCGGGGAGCCGCATGCGAACCCTGCCACTGGGGCCTTCAGTGGGGCTCCCCATGGGGCCACGAAGCGAGTGCGGGGTGTGCCGAAATGGACATGCGGCGGGCGGGGAGTCGCATGCGAACGCTGCCGCTGCGCCGACATGGACATGCGGTGGGCGGGGAGCCGCATGCGAACCCTGCCACTGGGGGGCTATCGGAGGAGCTCACTATGGTGTCACGAAGCGTGTGAAGGGGTGTTCCGCAGCGGACATGCGGTGGGTGTGTGCCAAAAACGTGCGGACAACAGATGCAAGGATAGGCGAAAGGGGGAGGGCAACGGGAGGGAAGGAAGGAAACGCGGGGCGCTGTCTTTTCAAATCGAGGGCCCAACTCAACACATAATGATTGGGGGAAAACGTAAACGAGAGAGAGAGAGAGAAAGAGAAAAAGAGAGAGAGAGAGAGAGCGAGAGGGAGAGAGGAAGAAAGGAGGATGAGGAGGAGGAGGAGGAGAAGAGGAGGAGGAGGAGGAGGACGAGGAGGAGCAAGGGCAAGGGAGAGGGCCAACTCCGCCCCGCGGCGCGTTGAAAATACGAAGACGCGTGCCTCACACGATGAGCAAGCGGATGCTGAGGAACCGGGAGGGCTGAAGAGGGAGGGAGAAGAGATGACGAACAAAAGAGATGGGAGGACGTCTTCGCCTTCGCCACGCCCTCACCTCGCCGGCCCGCCACAACCGGTCTGGGGAGCCGCGTCGTGGACCCCTCCTTCCTCCCCCTCCTCCTCCTCCTCCTCCTCCTCCTCCTCCCTCCTCCTCCTCCTCGTCCTCCTCGTCCTCCTCCTCCCTCCTCCTCCTCCTCC